GCCGCTGGGTCCACAAGATTAATGGTAACATTTTAAAAATTCACACGGACCTGGAATCAGCACTAGAAAATACTGATTTAAATTAACAAGGAAAAAGCAGAATCCCATCAAAGGAAATAAATCGTGCTGGCAACTGTTGTCACATAATAAAATGTATTCTATAACTGAAGGGCTTTTATATGGAGCCGTCTACAGCTTGGTGGCCATGTTAATTGAATAAGGTGCCTAAGACTGACTTGGGGGAAAAAAATGAAATTTCCCTCAGCATCTATTTAGCTGGAGCCGTTGTCAGCTGTGTGCCCAGCACTAACCTATTTATTGCAGAACAGCGGTGCCTCCTACAGGGAGACCAGCAGCTGCAGGTCCCAGCATGGCTGTGTGCCCTGACCCTCTGGGCAGCTCTGTGGAAGGCCAAGTGCTACTGTGGTCACCATTCCCCCTTGCCACATGGATCTGAAATGACAATACACTATTTATGTCAAGTGGCCTGCTGGTCTCTGAGGTTCGGGCCCTTGTTCCAGAGGCCCAAGACCTAGGGATGGTGCCAATGGGTATGCACTCCAGGTGCCATCATGTATAACTCTTACCCGCACCTCCAGGTCAGCTTCTTCTAGGCTGCAGCCCACCCTTTGTGAACACCCCCTAAAATCTAGAAAACAGTAGTCTCTCCTGGTCCCCCCCCAAGGCAGCTGTGCTGGCAGTCTGGCTGTCCATGGCCCAGCGCCATTGCTTCCCTGGACGTCTGTCTCATTGGGCACCGTCCTGCACCTGCCCATCCCTCCCCTCCCTTGGCTTGTATGCTGCCCTTGGGGCAAGTGTCTGGTGCGAAGGTCAGTGGGGGGCCCTCACTCCCCCTTCTCTCCTCCTCTAGGAACAGTGACAGGATTGGGGCATTCCAGTAGCCTTATTATACTGTTCAGTTGTGGGAAGAGAAACCAGGGTGTTGGGTTAACTTGTCACAATCCCAAGTAGAAAGATAAGGATTTTAATGTATTTGTTAACTAGATGCAATGGGCAGAGGGATGGACTCAGGTCATTAATTAGCCTTCTGAAATATTTTAAGAGACTATAAAATGCTTCATTGAAACAGTTGTACCATAATTTTCTAACCGATACCCTGTTGTCTAATATTTCATTTGAATCTGGTTTTTGGCTTCATAAGCAGTGCCACGATGAACATGTTCACTGTTTATGAAAACCATCCATGAATCAGAAATAGTTGCATTTTCCAAGCCATTAAGCAACTCAATCCCAAGCATGAGACTGATGCAAGTGGGACGCCTTCCTGGGAGCATCCCCAAATTCTCTCTCATTACAAGTCAGTGTCCAGTTCTTCCATTCATTCAACACATGTGAGGTCATCTTGGGGGATTTCCTACTGTTGGCAAGTGTCCATGTATGCGAGGCACTGTTCTCAACTGTGCAGGTGCGAAGAGAAAGTGTGATGAGGCCCATGCTATAGTGATGCAAAAGCAGCCCAGACAGCCTGCAAAGCAGGGCAGCCTCTATAGGAGAGGAAGAAGGGCTGTGGGGAGTGAGTGGCTGGAGGTGGAGCCCCTCAGAGGGGCCAGCAGGGCAGGTCCTTGGCTGGCTAGGCAGGGCAGGTCCTTGGCGGGAAGCTCTGGCAAGCAGAGGAGGCAGCATCTAGGGAGCTAGGTGGCGCAGGGGGAATACCAGGTGAGGGGAACTGCACACCTAAAGGTCCTGAGGTAGGAGTGAGCGCAAGGGGCTGGAGGAACAAGAAGCAGCTGCTGACACTTGCAGAAGTAAGTGCAGAGAGGAGCACTGGACACCAACTGGCAGGACCTCAGGCCTGTGACACAAAGGGAAGACATGGGTGGGTTTGTGATGCTCTTGCGTCAAGGCCATCATGAACAGGATGCTAGATCATGCCGGGGTTTCAGCCCCAGCTGCCCAGTCTGCCTGGGACTGACCCAGCAGATGTTTAAAAAAAAAAATAGGATGGTTGGGATCTTGTAGGATGAATAGGAGTTTAATGTAGGTTAGGGAGGGTGGGGACTGTGTGATGAGGCAACAACATAGATGAAGAGTCAGTCAGCAAGGCCAAGTCAAAAGGTTTGAAACTTGCTGTCTGTGAGGGAGGGAGCAGCGGCGTTGGGGCAGCCCGGAGAGGAAGTGGTTGTGCTGGAGTGCTGAGGCCTGGTGTATGGCTGTGCAGAAGGCTGCTTGGGAAGTAGGCAGGATGGAAAGCAAGTGACTGGGGACCAGGCGAGCTGCAGCTGTGGAAGAGCTGCAGGAAGGGGAGGAAGGAAGCGAGTCAGGCCCTGGGACGGAGCTCGAGAGGCATGCAAAGATGTTAAGAGTCCACTGCCCGAGAGGTGAGAGCGTTGGCAACAGGAGGCCCCAAAGGATAGGCAGCGGAGCCAGGCACCCTGCTCTCTGTGGTCCTGTGCACTGCCTGGTAAAGCCCTGTGTGCCATGGAGTGTCCTCAGCACTGTCCCCAGGGAGGGTCTGTAGCAGCAATGAAGGCAGTCTAGGAAGTCTCCTTCATCACAGCATCTGCCATCCTCCTCCTGGTGCAGCCCCTTGTGTAGCACATGCGGGCAGCCCTTTACAATTGTTGCATGGATCTGGTTACATCTCTGTTTCACAACCCTTCAGAGTCACGTCAGAGATTGTGCCAGGGCCCCTGTACTTAGGCTCCTGTGGCCCTCCCAGGTCTGGCCGCCCTGACTTCCTGCTGCTGTGAGAGTGCCTGAGAGCTTAAGAACGTAGCCTCCTCCTCATTCTCTTAGTGCCACCTCCTGGGGCAACCTGCCCTGCCCTGCCCTTAGCAATTTGGTCTTCTGCTTCTGTGTGTTATCACACTTGGAGGTGAGGATTCGTGTAACTGTGTTGCCTTCCTGTCCCCCGCCATCCTGCCACTGCTGAGTCTCCATGGATCTGCAGTGCTGTGTGTTTGCCCTCAGTAGTGGGGTGCCCCTGTGCCATCACCCAAGCATGCCTGTCTTCCAAAGCCCAGCCACTGCCCACTTTCTAAACTCCTGGGCTCACAGTGCTGCCATGCAGTGCCGACAGCATGGTGGCCTGGGCAGGGTGCACCCTTTAGGGAATTGGGGCTTAGAGATCTGAACCTGACAGTGCTGCAGCACCATTCTTGCTCGGCTCCTGCAGATTCCCTCACTGGGCCCACGTTGTGGGCGTGAGACATGCAGTCATTTAGAGGGCCCACACTGGCTTTCCTATTCTGCCATTCCTGTCTCAGCATGACTAATAACATCTAAACCAGAGCCCTCACTTCCACTGAGCCGCCTCCCACCCCACACACACTCCATGACTGCCACCAGGGTTATTGCAAGAAGCCATAAGGAGTGTGTGACATCCATGTACCCCAAGTCTCACACCTGGCAGTGCTCTCTGCAGGATCACCTGTTACCATTCAAGTTCTGCTCAGCCACCCCCACAAGCAATAATCCATTCTCTGTCTGGGCAGCTCCACTGACCAAGTGCTATGGCCAAAGATGTTGATCAGTGCTTGGAACCTTCACAGCTGCTCTCACAGTCTCAGTGTTCCCAGCCTGGCCCAGGGCCACATCCACTGCTGGCACATGCAAGGAACAGCTTCCTGTGGTACACCTGCTGCACCCGGTCCCCAGAATCAGGCCTATGTGTGTGTGTAGCGACTCGACACAAGGGGCTGGCAGCCTCCTCTGCTGGGATAGGTGGAGCAAGACTTGGGAACCTCCATTTCCAGGAATGCAACCTAGGGCCGTGACACAGCATTTGGTGTCCTCACCAGTTAGGCCCAAGCCTACCTGTCCAGCTTCTTTTCCAATGGATGCACTAACCAACTTGTTGGCTTTCCCTGGCCACTTGTGGGCTCCTTTCATTCTTCTGCACTCTGAGGTGCCATGAGGTCCAGTCCCTTTTGACAACATCTTGTCTCTCTGACACTCGCCAGCACCCAGTGGCTTTTGCACATTGATGGCAGCCTCAGCGCCAGCAGCCACCGCCAGCTGTGTCCATGTGTGCGTGCTTGCTGTCACTGCGCAGCCCACACACAGTCCTGGCTCATCGGAGACCCCTCAAGTGGCTCATCATGGCTGGTCTGCAGTGCAGGTGTGTGCACATGCACCCTCAGCACTCCCCTTGACCCTGCTTGACCTCTGCTAGTTTCAGCTGCTCCTTGACTGTGGAAAACTTTCCACACAGCAGTCTTTCTGGAAGGGCACATGTGTGCCATGCGGGGCAGACAATGACCGACTAACAGCTTGCCTTAGTATGCTCCCCCTTCAGCCTTCCCTCGTGAAAGGCAGGCTACGGCCCAAGCCCAGGCTGCAGAGCCACTCCAAGCCAGGTAATGGGCAGAGGTTTAGTGCTAGTGGTTTCCTCCAGACATGTTGGTTCTAAATGCTTTTCCTATTATTTTATTCTTTCTTATCAACATTTATTGAAGGCAGCTGATGGCCATGCTGAATGGATTATTTACTCTTGACCAGATAGATACTCAGCTGTGTGGTCCGTGTGACCTTCAGCAGGGTGTACCTGAGCTGTGAACCACAGCCGCGGGTCCATCAAAGACACTTTCCCACACCTGTGCACTGCCATGGCTCCTGGCACACCTATGGGCAATGCAGTTCAGAGAAGTGTGCACTGTTCTGCTTTATGTATGTAAGCCAAGAGAGAAAGGGGAGAATGGAACAAACCAAGGTTTGCTCAGGGCCTGGGGTTGGGTTCCTTTGGCCTGGTGGTAGAGGTCTAAGTCAAATCACCACTGTCTTGGAATACTCAAGACACACCAGGAGACTTACAAAGCCCTTTCCTTCTCCTGATGGCCTTCCTAGAATGGAGAAGGTGGCTGCTGGTCTCTGGAAACCCCTGCATCCCATGGGAGAGCTGCAGTGGGCCAGGGCCAGGTGGCTCTCGCTCTTCCTGCTTCTGCTACAGTGAGACTGTCCGTGGCATCAGGCACTGCCTGAGTCTTGGCAAATGCCCCATGCCCCTTGTAACCTCCCTTTCTCCTCTGTCTCTTTCTCAGGCACATCTCCCTAACGCTGCCTGCCACCTTCCGCGGCAGGAACAGTACCCGGACGGACTATGAGTACCAGCACTCCAATTTGTATGCCATATCAGGTATGTGGAACCACGGGTCAGGCCAGCTCCAGGGTCTGTGTCCCGGGCGCCACCTCCTTCAACATGCTCTCTGCCTCCTGGAGACCTCTGTCTGTCTCACCTCTCTCCTGCCCTCTCCTTTGTGTCACCACAGCTCCAAGGGAAGGGCCACATACGCAGCACCACGCTTTGAGAGTGATGATGAAAAACAATGTGGCAATTTCACAAGCTTGAAGGGAGGTGCCCAGAGAAAACTCAGCACATTGTTCACCTGCCAGGCCCCGGGCAGGCCTCTCCTGGGAACCCTGGCGCAGTGCCGAGCTGAGCTAGGCCTGTTTCTGAGGCTATCCCCACCTCTCATTTCTCATCTCCAGGTCGTGTCCAGGGGGTACACTGGCAGCCTGTCCCCCACAGCCCCAGAGCGGGAGCCTGTGGTTTCTGAACTCGGCCTTGAAATTGATAGTGTTACCTTGGCAGGGACTTCATCAGTTCTAGTTTCCCTTTTCACCTTCGCCCAGGGAGGGGAAGCTTAGAAGCCTTATTACAGACTCGAGATTCATTAGGTGCTTGGCAGCACAGGTGACTTGTTAAGTGCTGAGGCAGCCCACAAACTCACCTGTGATTACCCTGGGCGGCCGGCGGGGCGTTCGTGCACCCGGGGGAAGTGGTAAGTCGGGGCCACTTACCAGCACATGCCCGTAATGGTGAGTGACATTTCCAACACAGGAACATGGCATTCATTCATGTACCATAATGAATCAGTTATTTAAAAGGTAATCTTTTTTTTTCTAAAAATTGCAACTTCAGGTTACTAAATAGATGAAATAGAACAATGGCATAATTCTTGTCAGTATTAGTTTTTCTCACTATGATCACTCCCTAATAGGTTTGGAAGTATAAGCAAAAGCCAGTTGTTGCATTTCCTGCCGGGCTGGGGAGGGGTGGGCCGTGCTGAGACCCTGGGCCTGGCTGTGCTCCAGGAGCCAGGCTCTCCTGGGGTGAGGAAACATGTTTGTCTAAGGAAAGCATCTCCTGGGAGAGCGCCTTTTGTGCTGCGGCTATTTCAGCAGAGTCGACAAGGAGCATAACAAGTGTGGAAAGATGACCTATTTTGTGGAAAAGCTGAATATTTCCCCAGATGCTTAGTAGCAGAGTGGTGCATAACAGGCCTATGAAACCTAGCCAGGCGGCCCTGGTTGGTGCGCATACGAACAAAGCTTTGGGAAAACAGGCGACTTTTCCCCTGCAGCTTGCAAATCTTTTTCCAGCTGCAGTGTTGGGCTCCACCCACCTTACCTGAATCCTCTGATGGCTTTCCCAGCTGTTGGCATTTCTGCAGAGAAAGGCCCGCTATGTGAAAATCGCCCCCAACTTGGCAAGAATGCCACTGGCTTCCTCTGGGCTGCCATTTCCTTGCCCCGCCATTTGGATGAGGTGTTGTCTCGGTTCATTTCTGCTGGTAGTTTAGCAATGCCAAGGTAACAACCTCAAGACGCAGGGGAAGCCATTTAGAAACTTCCTCTTTCATTTATGTAAGTGGCAGTCAACTGGGTTTTATCTTCCAAGCAGAGGCAGTTGAGGCTCCCGCCCATGGCAGCAGGCAGCTCTGGCCTCTTTCACGGCTGCAGGCACCAAATTGCTGTGCCAGGGCCTAGGGCTGCTTTTAGTGATGCTGCCAGAAATACCCTACTGGGCCCACTGGCTCCATCAGGCCTGCAAGCTCAGCACTGGGCAGCGAGGGCACAGCTGGGAAGCCTGCCCACCCCCCCACTGGCCGCTGCCTGCAAGCCATTCTGGCTGGAAGGGAGCGGAGAGCCTGCTTCACCCCATCCCACCTCGCCGGCAGTATTTGGCACTGAACAGCCCATATCAGTTTGGTATTGCAAAGTTGGAGTTTCTAAGGTTTATTCCAAAAGCAGTTAAGGTGGAGCATGCCACAGGCCCTGGCTGTGACGCAGAGCCAATGCTTCGGTCCCTGGAGTTCTACTGATGGTGAAGCGAGTCCTCAAACTGCACTTTGTCCTTTAGAACAGGCCGTGGGACGTGTGTTCACCCACTCCCCAATCTGAGCCCTCAGCGTGAGCTTCTGGTGTGCTGGGTGTCCTTGGTGAAGATGGCTGACCCTCGCCCTCTAGAGCAGGGGGGAATCCTTTCCCAAGCCAAGCCAACTGTAGAACGATGTCACAGAGCTTAAGAAACAGCTCACACACATTAAAGTTGTTCTGGTCTCATCACTTTGCAGTGTTCTCTCAGTGTCACGCTCTTCCTAAGCTTGTGTGAAAGCAGTTTGCTCCTCCACGCGTGCACTCGAAGGCATTGCCCAGGAAGCCCATAGGTGTCAGCAGAAGACAGTTTGTAGCTCCAGCCCCTGACACTCGTGAGATGTTCATGGAGGGAAGAGAGGCCTTTAGTCCAGTGTCTGCCTTGTTCAGGGACCTCCCTGTAAGATCTCTAGGGCCCATGGCTGCCCTAGCTTGCCACTGGAATGCCTGGGTGGCAGCCACCACCTCTGACCACCCTGGCTTGTCTCTGCGGAGTCCTCCCTCTCTCCGCCAAGAGTCCTCCTGCACATTCAGGTCATCAACAGTGAGCAAGTTGATTCCATTGGCTGCACTCGACCAGCTGCTGTGTCCACGTGTGTGGCATGAAGCACTCTCACTGACTCTGCCTGGAGAGCTGCGGAGGCTGTGTCCTGTGGCCTGTCATCTAAAACATTAATCACAACTGTTGTGAAGCAAACTTTTACCCTTACACTTCTCTCCTAAAAACTTCTAGAAAATGCTTAGAGATGTGCAAAAAGACTTACCCATGTGGTTTACCATCTTTACTTTTCAAAAATAATCCTCCAGAAGGAGCTCCAGGACCAATGTTGTAGCATGGTGGGTTAGGTCACTGCCTACAATGTTGGCATCCCACATGAGTCCTGGCTCAAGTCCCAATTACCCCACTTCCAATCCAGCTCCCTGATAATGTCTCTGAGATGACAATGGAGGATGGCCTAAGGACCCACATGGAAGACCTAGATGGAGCTCCAGACTCCTCACTTCGCTCTGGCTCAGCCCCTGCCATTGTGTCCATGTGGGGACTGAACTGGTTAATAGAAGATCTTTCTCTGTCTGCACACACACACTTTCCTTTCTGTGCCTTTAAAACGAATAGGTAAATCTTTATTTAAAAAGATGCCATTTGTACTACTGGTTGAGTAATGGATATGTCTTAAAGACAAATAGTTGAATTGTGAAACACCCATACAATGACTTTAAACTGAGCCATTCTAAAGATGATAATTTAAATAAATATATGTGCGTGAATATTGTTAAGGATGTGTTTGCAGAGGGGATGTAACTGAGAGGAATGGGAAGGTGATTAACTAGAATGTGCAAAGTGATCTCATTTCAAAATCATGCATCAATGGCCCAGAAAGACCCACTGTAAGGTGCTGACCATGATCATCTTCTCCAGCTTTTCTTCTCTTTTCTTTGATATCCTTACTATTCTGCATTTCTCCATAATAACTGTGTTGCTGCTATAATGAGAAAAACAGAAGCGAATGGTATATATGTCCCTTATGGGTCCCATGGGATGGGACATGTATATTCTGGGTGGGCTTTACAGGATGGTCCAGGTGTGTCCCAAGTGAGCCCCATCAGGTGGCCTGGGTGTATCCCAGGTGGGCCCTATGGGATGGTCCAAGTGAGCCCCATGGGATGATCCAGTTGTGTCTCTGGTGGGCCTCATGGGATGGTTTGGGTGGGTCCCACAGGATGATCCAGATGTGTCCCAGGTGGGCCCCATAGGATGGTCTAGATTTGTCCCTCCTGGAAGTGAGCCCATGGGATGGTCTGGGTGGGCCCCACAGGGTGGTCCAGGTGCCTCCCTGGTAGACCCCACAGGATGGTCCGGGTGCATCCTTGGTGGACCCTACCATCCCTGTTGTTCACCTCAGTTGCTTTCTGATTGCTCACAAGCCACCTGATTCATAATAAGATTTTGAATTTTACTCCTGGATATGATGGAAGTCACGTCCTGACCATCTATCAGTAATATTTTTATCGGCCTTCTTTGAAAACTACTTTTTCTGTTATCCAGTCCCCTGAAACCATTCCCACATGATGGTTTATTGTAGTTCCGACATCATTGTCCATGTGTGTGTCTGGATTGAGTGTGAATGCTGGGTGCATTCACATCCCCTTACCTGTCTTGCTCTTCAAATCCACCATGTGAATGTTATTCTGCTCTTGTGAGTTTTATCATGGTTTTCTGTAATGCAGGAGATGGAAATAGAATGATCGTTTGACTCAGTCTATTATCTGTCTACATTAGGGTCAGTGAACTAACCAGCAGAGCCCACCTACAGTATGTTTTTGTGTGCCCTGTGAGCTACAGATGGTTCCAGCATTCTTTAGTAGTTGTGGAAAAGGAGTGGTGCTTAGTAACTTTAACTTAATAATTACATGATATTCAGATTCCACTGCTCCTAGACTTAGCTTTATTGGAACCCAGCAGTGCCCCTTTCTCTACACTCTGGTGGCAGAACTAAGTGCAGCAGATGCTGTCGCTGAGGCACCATGTGCTGGTGGCCCTGTCCGTGTTGTCAGCCCTGAGCAGTGGCACTACCCATTCGTGTTGCTTTCTTGTTCTGAACCTCGTTTCAAGAACCACCTTTTGTGCTGTGTGTGTTCTTGGTGAGCAGCAGTCTGTGCTTCTGGGCACTGTTGCTACCCCACCTCCTGCACCCCCTAGACATGAGGCCTTTAAGAGCTTGTTCCTGGGAGGGCTGTCTGCAGAAGCATGCTTTCTCTAGACTACCCCAACTCTGCCCCAAGCCACTTGCAAGGGAGCTTCTCCCCACAGTCTTATAATGTGGTACCAGAAGCTGGCAGCTTCCCCTCTTCTTTCCCTTAGATGTTTAGATGTATGAGCATTCATTCATTCATTCATTCATTTCTGTTTCACCTAGTCAAGAGAGATTTGAAGTAGCTCCAAGATACTTACAAGGAAATGAAGGTAGAAATGAGAAA